ATTGTCTATTGATTTATTCAGTAAATATTGGGAAATAGTACTATAATTCAATAGTCACCACAGTTTCTCTTTTTTTCATCACTCACTATTCCTCAGAATCCATCCTTCACCTCTAGTGCCCTGAATTCCATTTGTGTCCTAACACCCAAGAGAGAAACATGCTGACAACTCTTCAGCATGTCCCTCTACAGTTTAAAACAATTGAAAGTTTCTCAGTCTGTGATGCAAGATGTAGTCTTTAGGGTTGATGTAAATTCCCTCGTCAGTCAGTGTCAAGGTTGCCTCCTGTATCATCATCTCATCCACAAGGGAAATGAGGTTTTAGTATATCAAGATTTCAGTCAAAATGTGCAACAGACTCCCTCCTATAAGAAGAGAAGTTGGATGTCCCTCTGTCCATTGAAGACCTAACCAGCATCAGCCATCACAGACAAACCTACTTCCTCAAGTGAGTCTTGAAATTTTTTCCTGCAGGCTTGCAGAAGTTAGGACAATCTGCTGCAAACTGTGTGAGTACAGAACTGAACTTGTCTTTATATTTTAATAGAGAAACTTGCAAAGGAAAAGTACCTATTGAAGGCAACATCATCCCTTTTGCTATATCATGATAACAGTTAAATAAACATGTACATGAGATATACTGTCATCCTGTTCAGGTCTTCTTAGAACTAATTGATAAGGTTATAGCTGTTGGTTTTTATTAATAAGAGAGACTCGGGATCTTTGTGAATGAAACAGATGTGGCGCTGTCATGGGTTCACCTCCTCTCCCTTTCTCTTTGTAACCATCTCAGGTTCCATTCAGTGAGATGCTGTAGTGCATGGCAGCCACAGTGAGCTAGAGAGCCATTTCTTATAGACTTTTAGACACCTTTGCTTGATCATATAATCTCTGCTTTAAACTCCAGCTACCAGAAGAAATCAGTGATTTTGTTTTAACTAGTACAAACCTCAGGGCAAAGTGGATTTAACAGGCTATGTCCTTTGTAAAGGAAAGTAACATTAAAGAGGAACAAATATTTAATTTATTTATGGTAAAAATGTAGAAAATTCAGAAATCTGTAGCTACCAATAGCAATAATTGAGGTGGGGTTTGTATTTCTGGACAAAAATTTACATTTAATACTTGGAGGTGAATGTTAACATCACTGGTTTTGGAAGTTTTAACTAGTAGTCATGATTTTCTCTTCTGGATAATACTTGGACATATGTGCAGACACAGTACATATTCTCTTGTGTCTAAATCCAGTTATTATATTATCCTCATGTTTATGTAGGTATAATTTAATTATGGTTATATTTAGACAACCTTACAGAGTCAGTGACCATTTTGCTAGTAGTGAATAATACTGCCTTAGAAAAAAGAAGTTAAATGTTCCCATGAATGTAATTCTGAAATTGAGTCAATTTTAACATTGATCAAATTCAAATTTTAGATAAAGTTATTTTTATATGGGCAGCATTGCTGTTTTTAGGTAATTGTGTTTTATACCCTATATAACATAGGCCTACAAAAATTACAGGACACAACGGGGTTGTTTGCAACCACATAGATGGAATCTTTAAATGGAACCAAGAAAAGAGCCGACAGATGAATATAAGATGATTAATTTTTACTTTCAAACAAGGTATATTTTAAAAGGTGACAAACAGAAGTTTCACACTTATTCTGATTTTTAATGTTATTTGCTGCATAAGGTTTCATTCCTGCTTTGTTTTCTTTTACCATTGTATGTATCTGGGGATCTGGGAGTTAAAGTTGAGGTTCACTGTGTAAAGGTGACTGCCTCCGAGCTTTGCAATCCCAAGGCTTACATAGTTGAAGGGGAGACATGTATCCTGTGAGTTGTTCTCTTTAATATTAATTTTTCTCTCTAAATCTCTGTGTGTGCGTGTGTGTGTGTGTGTGTGTGTGTGTGTGTGTGTGCATTTCTGTCTCTCTGTCTGCTTGCCTGTCCTTCTCTCTGTCTAATGTGTGATGAATGGTCTTAACAGTCTCACCACTGGATCTTCAGGCACATGGCTCCAACATACTTGAGCTGAATATTGATTATGAAGCACGGTCCAGTATGTCATCTCAAAGTGAAGGACACTATAAAATCAACATTTCACCACAGCCAAGGCAATTGCAAACTCAGGAATCTTCTTATGAAAATGATAGTTTCTGTTTCCTCAATAATGACATGTGCTGAGAAGCACAATACCTAGCATGGCATGAAGGCCATAGTTTTTCGTGTCCATCTTGAGATCTCAGTGTCTCACACTAAGTGATAATCGCGGAAATTTAACAGAATGATATCTACAGACCTGGCTATGGGGATCATCTTCCTGTCCCAGACTGCACTGGGAATTTTGGGGAACTCAGCCTTGCTTTGCTGTTTAATCATCAGCGAATTCTCTGTTAAGAGGGCCAGGCCTACAGACCTAATTGTCAAACACCTGACCAGTGCTAACTTCATGGTTCTGCTCTGTAAAGGAATCCCTCAGACATTGGCTGCTTTGGGTTGGAAATATTTTCTCAATACCATTGCATGTAAAATAGTTTTTTATTTTCATAGAGTTGCCAGAGGAGTATCCCTTGGGTCCACAGCCCTCTTAGGTTTCTTCCAGGCCATTATTATCAACCCTAGGAATGCCAAGTACAAGTATTTCAAAGCCACAGACCACAAGGTAATTGGGACTTCTCTCAGCCTGTGTTGGTCCCTGCAAATGATGGTAAATGGCTTCATTCCTGTGCTCATGACAGACTTGAGGGATGCAAAAAACGTCACTGGTTTTAGAGATTTGCTATACTGTGCTGTGCCCAAACCTAGCTATGCCTTCTATGTTATCTTATTGAGCTCCTCTGATGTCATGTGTTTGGTTCTCATGATATGGGCCTGTGGTTCCATGGTGCTTGTCCTGCTGAAGCATAAGCAGAGGCTCCAATATATGCATAGAGTTCTGTGTCCCAAATCATCTCCTGAGACAAGAGCCACCCAAACCATCCTTGTCCTAGTGAGCAGTTTTGTGTTCTTTTATACAGCATCTGGTATCTTAGTCATGTGCTTAACTTTAGTAAATGGAGCCACAAGGCATTTGGTGAATACCAGTGCAGCAACAGCTGCTTGCTTTCCGGCATTGTGTCCCTATCTTCTCATCAGACACTACACCCCAGTTTCCAGGCTCTGCTGTACTTGCTAATAAAAAACCGCATAAGTTACAGCCCAAGAGTTTTAACATTTACAGCCTGCCTTCTTTCTATTCTTTTTGTTCTATTGAGTTCTATGATTTTGACATTCCTATAAGTAAATCTGTAATGAAATTTCATCTCTAATCAGGACAACACATAAAGATGCATGTAAATATTAAAACTATTAACAATTATTTGCAGTCAAATCATTAACAATGAAGAAATGTCAACACCGGAGTTTTATGCATCATAGCAATTAAGAGCTTTAATGAGGATGCATTTTAGTCAATTATACATTGTGTGTGGTGGAGTTGAACTGTATTCAACTGTGGAGAAAAATATAAAAAATTTTCAGCAAAATGCATTTTGGTTGGAAAAATAGTATGTTTTCTCACTCACATATGCATATCCTAGGTTATGATCCTTAGATAAGTATTTAAATGTGGGGGTAAGTGCAGAAATCTGTAGGTAGGTAGAATGGTACTATATGGTCTGCTTCCTTCTTATATAGGCAGGATTCAGTCTCTCAGCAGATATCATGTTCTCTGGATTTTACAACATTTCTACTCCTGCAACCACATTTTTTGAGTCTTAGTTATAGGGCTTTTGTTGTACATGCATCGATTTGTGGCTAGACATTCTAGTTACAATTGTTCTGTACATTTTGTCCAATGTGTACTACTGTAATGTTCTCTATATGATACAAATAGAAGCTTCTTTGCTGAGAACAGCACCAGCCATGGTATTTTCCCAAATGATTTACCCTTAAATTAATTAATGAAATTTCAAGAACATGATTTTCAGAACAAGGCCTCAACAGTTGCAGCATCCATGACAACATGGCTGTGAAATATGACAGGGCTCCACCTCTGGATGGAGAGTTTCAGTTGAGTAATGAGTGCAGATAAAGGGAAAATCAGTCTTCCTTAGGGATTTGTTATCCTATTCTATGTGGTCAGTCCATAAAATAAATATGTATCATCTACATTAAATGATTTTATCAGAATATAAATATGCATCCTATGATATTTATTAAAAGACACAAATTAACACATTAATATACATTATATATTAATCAATTAAAATGTAATCAGATGTTTGTATAATTCAATTATTATGAGTGTGAAAGACTGCTGGGGAAAAAGGAAGAACTCATCTCCTATACCAAGAAGAGGAGAATTGGGCACCCCTCTGATATTAGATCTTCTTATTGCATATTAGGTACACAAAGTAATGAGTCTCATTAAACATGAACATGTTCACGGACGGGATCCAAAAATAAGACAAAAATTTCAAAATTAGCATGTAGAAGATATCTAAGTATGTTGACAGCTATTGCTGTCTCTAAATGTTGGGATGGGTGGGACCTGATTTCAGAGTAAATGTTATTAGTGTTGTGTACTCTCAGAGGCATGGTGAGTGCATTGCCTTATACCTCCCATAGTCTTCACGAATACAGTCTTAGTCAATTAGGGGAGCACTTTTCTTCTACTCAGATTTGCGGTTCCCTAGTTAACTTCATTTCTGTGGTCATTTTTCCTCCCTCCAAACTGTTGCTTTTATTTATAAGGATAAAAAAGATCATGTTTTTCAAAGTATTGTGTTCTGCAGGATATACCTCACTTCTGGTACTATTAGAAAATATGTGGATGTTTTAAAAATAACCAGAAGTAGTCAGCAAACTTGGTGTTCCTGTGTATCATGTTCTTGAGTCCTAATCCTTGGTTGCAGCTTTGTACTAAGTATCCTTTATTAATCTGAGATATTATCTCTGTATCTTTTGATTGTCCATGATATTTGTGATACAAAAATTCTTGATTTGCCAAATGAATTTCTGACATCA